AGAAGTATAATGATGTACACCTGAAATTTATACAATGTTATAAACCAATGTTACTGCAATAAACAAAAAATTAAAAAAAAATAAAATAAAATAAGACAAACTTCAAAAAATAAATAAATAAATAAAAATAAAAGAAGGGTTAAAATGTATATCTAGCAATTAAGAAAAAAAATCACAAAAAATTCTAAGTGTAATTTACACTTCTCTATGAAAGATAAAAATCACTACTATACAGATTATCTGGACAGTATTTCTCAAAGGTGAGATTCATTTTCAATTTATGTAATTTTATGTAACTACACCTTATGTGTTACGAAAAGATATTAGACCAAAGAGCATGACAATCGAATTTATAAAAGGAACCAATAAAAGAAAAAGCAGGAGTTAGGAATTACTTTTTCTGGATCACGGTGCTTATAAGGCAGGTTACAAAATAGATGATCAAATATTGTTCAATAGGTGTAAGTGCAGAGAGACTAAGATAAATTTCAACAAAATAAAAATTGAAACAATTCCTGGAAGTTCCTAAAAGAAAGAATGTGATTTTCCATTGGAAGTTTAGGGTTACATGGGGGGAAATGAAAAAAAAGTGGTGGCCTGAAGAACACATTATTGCTACTTGTGGTAAGTTTATTCCTCCATTCCAATCATGAATAGAAGCACTTGTTTAGCTTTCATGAGGCGGAGCTATCGATTTGTACAGTGATAGAATTACATTAGAATGTGATTCATGCCAGTGTCAATAAAGATGTTCACGTCACATGGTAACCATGACTGTAGGTATGAAGTTGAAAGATGGTTAGATGGAATCATCAAATACTGGAGATCAAAACCTTAATAAATCATCTTGTCCAACCATTTAATTTTATAGGTGTAGAAACTGACATCATTCTTATTATAAATAGCATGTTTATTAAATCCTATTATGCATGCAGTGCTAAAGGGTTATACAGAATGCAACATCCAATCTGCCTGCCTCATATCTTGCTCTAGTGCACAAATCAGCATAGTATTGATAGAAAGAATTAACCAAGGAAAAGAGTCGAATATAGAACCACTCACCTCAAAGTTCTAAATTGGAACATTGATGTTGTGCTATGGGCAACTTTTAATTTCATCTTAGCATCAGTTGATGTTAGAATACGATTGAGTCTAGGAGTGGCTGCATTTTGGAGAGGTTAGTGACTTGCTCCACTCATGCAGCCCGTATGTAGACTGAAGAACTGGGTATAAAACTCCTATCCCTCATTCCTAGATCAGTTCATTTTATTTTATACTGTGCTGCTTTCCAGGATCAATTAGAGTTAGTAAAGCTCTTTGTCTCCTGGTTTTTTAAAAAAATATTTTATACTACCTCAAGAATAGAAATATTAGTGGTAGGCAGAGTACACTATGGAGTAGTGATTTTAAACACACAGTACCTAAGCATAAATATGTTAAAATTCTTGTGTCTTCTGTCCAGAAAATTTTCCCCTAGAACTGCAATAAGTTACATTTGATTCCTAATTGTTTCTTGTTTCCCATAGTCAGGTTAGTTAATATTCCTCCTGGGTTTCTATGTTTGCCATATTCCTTGTATCTTCTTCATTCCATGATCATCATCTTAGTTTAGCTCTTATTATGCATCACTTGGACCAGGGCAATGGCCTCTTGATTTGTTTCTGTATAGTCCTTATATGTCTAGCCTTTGGACTTCTGTTTTTATAAGCAGCTGCCATAGAAATCATCCCAACGCCCAACTCCTGTCATGTCATTCCCCTGCCCCAAGGCTTTCAACAGCTCCTTAGTGCTTATTACATTAAGGGCATACTCCTTTGGCTAATATTCAAAGCACATAAATTTTCCAGATTTTTCTTCCACTATTACTCTACATATATCCAGTGCTCCCAGCCAAACTATCCTCTGAACAACCCCTCTCTATATACCTTTGTGTATACTATTTCCATTGTTGAGAATGGCATCTTCCCTGCAGACACCAAAATCTTAACCCATATATAATGCTAGCTTCTTTTTCAATCTTTCTTTTTCTCCCCAATCAACAGTGACTTCTCTGTCGACACCATAGTGTGTTGTACTTTTCTTCATATTTTGATTTTTAGTTGAGTTATTGTGAATTTCATTCATTCCCTAGAAGTTTCTCGCAGAGGGGAACATTTTTAACTCAATTGTAATTTTTATTGTATACCGTACAGTCTGTGACTTGCAGATGGTAAGGAGTCAGTACATTTCTGTTACGTTTAAATTTAATGAAAAAAATTAGAATGAATAAGTAAAACCAAATCTGTGTTTGCTAGGCCAAAGAAGGGAAGTTTATTAGAAAACAAACATGCCACAAGACTTAAGATCTAAGATGAGAAGAAGAGAGTTGCTACTGTTACAAAGACTTAAGAACAGTCCAAGCCTTAATGGATGAGTCTGGATCTCCATCCAACCCCTGGTTGACTTGGGGTCTTGATGGCTCAGGGCAGGAGGTTTGTTAGGTAGAGAAAAGGGAGTTTGACTTTTTCAGAAGGTTGATTGCTTGCCCCCGGCAGTCAGAGCGTTGCTCAGCAGCGGGAGGTCCTGCAGATGGTGTGGCAGGGGGCAGGCTGGCAGCAGGAGGGGCGGTAGCAGGGGGACTGCACAGAGATGGGCCGGCAGCAGGTGGAGGCCCAGCAGCGGGGCCGGCAGACCACGGCCGTGCAGGACGTGGGGCAGCAGGTGATGGGGCGGCAGCAGCCCTCCTGCAGGGAGCACGGGTCACAGCAGAGGGGGCGGCGGCTGGGCTCGCAGATGGTGCGCGTGTAGCGGGGCACGCAGGTCACGGGGCGGCACACGGTGGTCCGGTAGGACACGGGGCGGCCGCAGCAGGGGTCGCGGCTGAAGCAGGGCTGGCAGCAGCCTCCCCCAAGGCTCCGGGAGGAGAAGGAGGAGCCACAGCAGGAGCCGGTCATGGTGGTGTCTGGGCTGGGCTGGGTTGGGCTGGTGAGAGGACCTGAGTGTTCTCAGGTGTGAATGTCTTCCTCCTGCTCTGCGCCCTTTATATACCCTGGCCTGGTGCTGATGACCTTGTTTATCTTTTGGCCAATTAAGTAGAATTTTGTTTTGATTAATGGTTGCATTGCTCATGACATGCTTGTGATCTCATTGAAGAACTCTTGTTGCATCCCTAAGTATGGATGTGTTCATGCTGTTCATCATCAGTGTCTGAGCATTCATGGCCATTTGAGGTGATAGCAACTCTTCATGCTTATTTTGAGTATGTAGCACCTGGTGAATCCTGGACAAGATGGTCCTAAAGGAACTGGAATTTTTAAAAGAAATTAAACATATAGGGGTTTGTAGAACACTGATTTGACCCCCAAGAGATCCCTTGAAAAGCCTACATGTGAAACAGACAAATGTTAGCCATATCCTTCCATGTGGATTCCATGGAAATACATTTACATATCGCTTGATATAGTGGAATGTATATGCCTTGAATGGAACTGCAGCTCGCATACTTGCATGGGAGAGGCAAAAATCTATTTCTGTAAACCAGTAAGCACTGGAATAAAACATCCAAGACCGCCATGCATTTTTTTCTTTTTTGCAGTTCAGGTTGTGTGCACCTTTGGTCCTTCTGGTCACAGAACGCTGATTTTATCTCTGGAACACGACATTTTATACTTGCCTTTCTTGTGAAGAATCATGTAATAAGAAGTGTTTTCTTAATATACCTTGGCATGAGTGCTATGACCTTGAAGTGACAAGATGGAGGTTTTTTCAACCAACATTGCAAACATATCAAAGACACCATTCAAGGAAGTTGCCTTGGGATGGCCACATGGCTGTTCTGTGATGGCACTGCCAGCAATGTGATGGGTGACCTTCTTTGGGCAGTATCGCCAGAGGCGGGTGAGGAGTTGCATGGGGGAAACTCGTTACTTTTCAGCTGTACCCCTCCTATTATTCACCAGACAGAGTTTTGGATCACTTTAGGATCATTCCCATCATTCAAAAGAATGTGCCTCAGGCCCTGGGAGCTGAAGCTCCCCAAATGGAATTTCAAGCATAATTTCAAAACTTTAAAAGGAATGTAAATTGACTGCACGTACAGTCACAACTGGGGAAACAGAGGAGGAGCAATCAAGCAGAGTCTCATGGTTGAAGATCTTTGACTCTCTTGCATTTCACATTCTTTCTCTTGTCCACAGACACATGTGACTGTTTCAAACCAGTAACCAGAGCCTGGATAAAAATTTGCATATTCTTCTCTCTTTTTCCCCAGCTTTACTGAGATATAATTGATATATAACATTGTGTAAGTTTAAGCTGCACATTGTGATGATTTGATACAAGTGTATAATATAAAATGTTTACCACAATAAGGTAAGTGAACAGATCCTTCACCTTAACACAGTTATCATTTTGTTGTCATTGACATTATGATGAGAACATTAATGCTTTACTGTCATAGCAACTTTCATATGCATATGAAAGTTTCCTATGCACCATGCACCAACATTTCATAATGCACCGTGATGTGCATTAGGTTCCCGGAATTTGTTCATCTTATAACTGAAAGTGTGTACCCTTTGACCAAAATCTCATTTCCCCTACCCCTCAGCTGCTGCCAACCACCGTTCAACTATCTATTGCCATGAGTTTGATGTTTTTAATTTCACATATAAGTGAGATCATACAATATATGTCTTCTTCTGTCTATTTCACTTAGTACAATACCCTCAAGATCCATCCGTGTTGCCACAAGTGGCAGAATTTCCTTCTTTATTATGGCTGCATAATATTCATATATATATCACATTTTATTTATTCAGTCTTATGTCATTAGACATTTAGGTTTTTTCCATGCCTTGACTATTAAGAATAATGCTACACTGAACATGGGAGTGCAGATATCTCTTTGAAATAGTGATTTCATCTCTTTTGGCTATATACCCAGAAGTGAGATTGCTGGATCATATGGTAGTTCTATTTTTAATTTTTTTTGAGGACTCTCCACACTGTTTTCTGTAGTAGTTGTACTGGTTTAAATTCCCACCAGCAGTGCACCAGGGTTCACTTTTCTCTACATCCTATCCAGCATTTATCTCTTGCCTTTTTGATGATAGCCATCCTAACAGTGTGAGGTGATATCACGTTGTGGTTTTGATTTACATTTCCCTTATTATTACTGAGGTTGAGCACCTTTTCATGTACCTGTTGGCCATCTGTATGTCTTCTTTGGAAAAATGTCTCTTCAAGTCCTCCGCCCATTTTTTAACTGGATTGTTTGTTTGTTTTGCTATTGAGTTGTGTGAGTTCCTTATATATTTTAGATATTAACCCCTTATCAATATATAGTTTGCAAATATTTTCTCTGGTTCCGTAGCTTGCCTTTTCGTTCTATTGATTGTTTCCTGTGCTGTGCAGAAGCTGTCTACTTTGATGTCATCCCACTTGTTGATTTCTGCTTTTGTTGCTTGTGCCTCGCTCTCTTCAAGGCACATTGTCTCACAATCAGTTTTTTTATGTCTCCGGGAGGTCTTCATGGTGACCACATTTTGTGCAAAAGAAGCTTCTTCGGAAGATACATAAAATCTCAAGTTAACAAGACTCATTTCTCTACTCCAAGCACTTCTGATCCAGAGTCATTCCAAAGAGATTTTTCTCTTCCCTTTTCAAAGATTCCTAAAGATAGAGAGTCCACGAGTCCCTCAGGAAGCTCTTCTAGTGTGTATTCAGTTTAAGACACTCATCCCCACCCTGTAGGCAAACTTCATTTCCAGGCAGAGAAAATATGTGTCATGCTTCAGTAATTCATGCCATAGAACTCTTTGGTTTGACACTGTGGCAAGTCATATGCTATTTTCTGATGCCACTGTCCTAAAACATTCATTGAAAATTTTGCCACTTACTGGCTGTGTGTCTTGGGGCCAAGGGGGATAATAATAGTACATATCAAGGCTGTTATGAAGATTAAATGAGCTAATATTTGTCAAGCACTAAAACAGTGCCTGGCACTTAGTGCCTTGTATTTGTTAAATAAACAAAATATTTTAAAAGGTCACGTGACATTGGTGCCCTATAAACTCTAAATTTTGAATTTAGAGCAGAGATGAATGTATTTCCTATAGCAATTGATCAGTTCTCTCCTCACTCACCACAGAATACATACTAAACAAGACTATTCAATGGGGAGTTTCATTAATAGCACGAAATTAGATAAAAATACCTGGAAGGAAGGTACAGAGCCCCCTCTTCTAGAACACCGATCTCTGTAAAGGAAAGTCAGGCTATTGTTGTAGAACCGACAAAAAGAATATGTGTCAGAGTCGTGGTCAGTGGCACAAACCCTGCTGAGAACCCACAGCCCATGCAACGCAGAGTGAGGTCTCTGAAAAACATGCTTAAAAAAAAAGCCTTAAAGCTGATTTAGACAGATTTCTAGTGGTGATGGGCAAGATATTTTGCATAACACATGCTAGGACTTTATTTAGCAATATTACTTGACAATAACATTATGAACAAATTTTAACTTGAAAAGCATTGTCTTGTATTCTGAATTCTCAATTGCCTCTCCAAATGGAGAAAAACAATTGTACATATAATCTGAAATAGCTAGCAATTTTTTAAAGTTCTTAATTTGGACCATTTCCACAGTGCACCTTATTTTATGCTATTGAGATGATCCTAAAAAGTTAAGATATGAATTCAATGTTTAATAATTTGATCATACTTTAAAGATATCAGAGAAGTCTACTATATATAACATAATCGTTTACTCTTCAGTATATATAATAAAAGACTTCTTTAGGAGTATAAACATCTGCTGTCTAATTTATCTCCTTTAAATCCATTTAGACTTTGATAGGTAGGTTTTTAAAAGCAGAGCATAATCGTGAGAAAGGTTTGAATATTTTCCCCAAAATAGATGTAGATTTTAGACAGTACATTTCATTAAAAGTAAAATATATGTTCATTTAAAAAATTATGTAATTAAGAAAAATACAATGAATAAAATGAATATTACCCCCAGTTACTCTTAGATTTTGTTGCATAATATTTCAGATTTTTTTAGGCATAAACACAGAACATATTTTTCCTCACAAAATAGTTTAATATTTTATGGCTTACTTATTTTTTTGTTAAATATATGGCAGAACAATTGCATAATGTTTCCTAATAGGTTTATAATCTTCAACTATTTTTAACTATTTTTGGCATTTCTTGTATATTTATATTGCTTATATACTATTTGACTTTTTTCTTGTTTATACCTCATGTCCTAAGTAGATTATAACATCTTTGAAGCAGGAGCCCTCTTTTATTCCTTTATATTCCCTCTGGGTGGTCAAGTCAATGCCTTATTCATAGTAGAAGTTCAATAATCACGTGTAGATTGACAGTGATTGATTACTTTGCTGGAACATGCCATCAATGCCTACTTCCTGAGCACTAAGATAAGCAGCCCTCGGGATCCAGTGTGGATGTAATATCCACAAGTGTCAACATTGTGAATAATGTTCTAAATAACAATCTGATCTATAACACATAGAAGGGCGTGCATTATCTGAAGTAGCAGTTATACTTGGGCACAAAAGCCAAAAGAATACAATCACTCCAGGCAGAGGAACGTGTCTCCCACCACATAAGAGGAAGTGTTCCACCTAAAGGTTTCCTGTCAGGAGGCTTGCATTCTTCTGGGTCTTTTCTGAACATCAGTGGTTGGAATTACATTGTAATTAAATTAGTAAGTAACTTATTTAATCTTTCATTACTCATTGCTCTTCAACTTCAAAAACAGCTGATTGGCCAGATGTTACCGAAGGTTCTTTCCACCTCCAATATGCCGGGCTTTCTGTGATGTGTGAACAGGTGTCAATTCAGTGAATGAACCCTCCGACTAGGAATATGCGTCAGCCCAGATGCAGCCTCCTAAGTGGTCATCATTGGAGGACGTTTCTCAGGTGTTTGGCGTGTGTCTGGATTGTAGGCACAAGTGACCCTGTATACACGGT